CTTTTCGCCTACTATATAGTAGAGAAGTAGGCGGTTTCGGACGCAGACAATCACAGTGGCGAGTTTTTCGAAACGCAAAGCCAATGTCCTTTGGCATGGTTCGGTTACACAGTCACAGTCCATAGATAGTGACAGTCCACACATTCTCACAAGCAGAAAATGATTCCAAGCTGATCACATGCCAATCAGGCAAAAACTGTGAAATTGCACTGTTCTGGTAAGAATGACTCATCATTGATTTAGATCTTTGAAATAAATATTACATCCCTAACCATAAGGGCTGTTTTTTGTCTTTCTGTTGTTTGCCCTTTCTGGTCTCTCCGAGTCCGGAGGTCTTGGAGTCCCAGGGGCAGTTCCTCGTAATCAAAACCTTGTGGACCAAATGAAGAAAACAGACACAAGGGTTGTCTTAGGACATGGATGTACATGCCAACTTTCACCGTCACACACTTACTGATAAAGCAAGGTTTTGGCATGGTTTTGAACAAATACCACGAGATGATACAAGTTAATCTGAAAATACATGATTAATTTGTAGTTCTGTGCATGTTTTTGTTGTTTAGTGTTTTTTTACACCAGTGGTACTTAAAAGGTACCATCAGTGATTATTTCCTCATAAAAACGATGTTTACATAAAGAAAGGATAAATATCTAAAGTACACTCACATGAGAGGTACTCCAGTGGAGTAACTCCACACATATAACCTAATAAAAGCTGATTTACTTTACATGAAGCAGGTCACCTCATGGAGGCAGCCATTTTAAAATCACATGATCAGCCGAATACTATTCACTTTATCTTAAAAGACTCTCTCCCTTATTATTGGACACTTTCACTTGCAAAAGAAATTAATCAAGATTAGCTGCTTTAGTACGTTTTTACAACCAAATCACTAACCATAAACTTTTTCACAAATACGGATCCACACCACTAGGTGTCAGTTTAAGTCTAAGACGTGTGCATTTTTAACACAGAAACCCAGGATCATAGACACGCACAACATGTTTTTACATACTTTCACAGTTAAAAATAAAATCTTAAAAATGTAAACGTAATTGTAAGCGTATGGTTTTCATTTAAGAGAATGTCTCGCTCTCTTTTTTTGTGTGGTTTGCCAGCTTTCCTCGGACACAACGTATCTACTCACCCACAGCCCCACCCATCTGTCTGCCCGTCATCTCTAACATGAATTTTATTGGGTTGCACATCTGGTTTGGCTGTCCAGCAGTGCTTGGCAAGGCCACTGGATTCACAGCTGCTGGCTCTTCCAACATCCGCTTCAGCCGGGATTCTGGTAAAGCCGTCCCCATGGATAGTAGGCTACTTCACCCTGCTGAGAGGAATGATTGGCGGGCTCAAGACAACTTAATACGGTTGTTTTGCTTGCCACTGAGCCGCAGCGTGGCGCAGCCTGGAACTGACAGCATGGTGAAATTATTAGTTGCATTAGTCTTGATTTCCAATGTGAAAACCAGACACTTAAAAATATAGTGCCACAGGAGCATCATCTGAGTGGTTAAAGTGTTGGACTTAAAGCCCAGTGGAGTTTCCAATGCAGATTTGAACCTAGCTTATAGCATATGGCATATTAAAAAGCTGATTTCTCAGTGATAATAATGTTAGATGAGAGTCACATCATCACAGGATAGCTATAAAGAGTTATACTGTAGCTCACTATTACTATGAATGTGTTTATTATGAATGTGTTTTGGTTTTCTGTGATTCTTCAGCTGTAATTATAATGATTCAAAAACATCACACAGTCTCTGATGAATTTTATTATTTATTATTACATATACCTTACCATTCAGAAGCTTGGAGTCGGTAAGTTTTTTTCATGTTTTGGAAGTAAGTCTCTTATGCTCACTATAGGGCTCACAAGTAATATTGTGAAATATTACAATTTTAAATAACTTTTCGGCAACCGTTACTCCATTCTTTGATTAAAATAATGTTTTTTGAGCATTGTTTATTTAAAACTGAATTTTATATAAATGCCTTTATGGTCACTTTTGATCAATTTAATGTGTCCTTGCTGAATAAAAGTTTTTTTTTTTATTTTTTTTTTTTTGTCAGTTTCAATAAATTGTAAACCAAGTGTTTAGGATTTTTTTTTTTTTTTTTTATATCTTTTGCTTCATAATAAAAAGGCCCTGTTGCTACTGACAATTAACAAGAAAAATCTGACATAGGTAAACCTGAAAATCAGTTTGAAACACTTAACTAACCCTAATTAGGGAACTTGACCTGTTAGTCAATATTGATAAAAAAATATTTGAAAAATAATTTTGTATCTGGTGGTGTTTTACCTGTATTAAGTGCACACATTTTGTGGGACAAACCAGATGCACTCAAAGAAAGTGCATTAATCTGTTGAACAGAATAAACCGAAATCATTTCTTGCTACATAAAGTTTCATGTGTCTCATTTTTGTGTTCGGTTTTTATCCCAGTACCCAAAAATCAGTGTTTTAACGTGACCCCACTACCTGTGAAACAAAATTCACTTTTATCTCTAGTAGCTACACCTGAAAACACGGCCTCATTAAAATGACTCTTTTTGTGCCTTGTATTGTGTGCTGCTCTCTGTGAATCAGGAGAGACGAGCTCCTGAGGTGAGGTGAGGTGACTAATTAGGGAACTTCACCGCGAGAGGAGCTAGTGAGGATGTTTGTGACAATAATGAGCCCCGTCGACAGGAAGGAACTCTCCTGAGCTGATCCCACAGCGATCCACAACACTGAAAGCACAGCGGAGTATTAATGCCTCGACTTAATGAGGCCTGTTTGGGGAGTAATACAGAACAACCACCATTGTTTACAACAGGTTACATTTGGCTGACTTATTTCTTCTGATTCAAAAAGTGCACAAATCGCTTTTAATCATACTCTTATTGACAAGTGAATATCTGCCGGAACAGAGCACAGGGTTGTAAAATGTTATTACACTCATTTTAATTAAGTGTTCTTGCATAAGGATTAATTCAATAATGTTTTTTAATGTTGCATGGAAATGTATATATTATATGCACAGTATGTGCATATCCATATGTGTGTATACATATAGGTATGCATACAAAATATACATACAAATAAGCAGTGTAAAGTAGTTTCAGTACTATGAATAAAAGAAAGCATATTTCTTACTCCTTCAAATGACACTTAGGCCTTCAAAGCATAAAGCAGCCTATTCACAAGTCATCATGACCTAGGTCTAAATCTAGGTCTCATGAAAAAAATATTTTCTACTGAGCAAACATGCCAATGAAATTGCAATGCATAAATTTAAGTTTTTTACTTTTTGCCC